CGTGGGTTCGAGCCCCGCGTCGGGCTCTGTGCTGACTGCCAGCTCAGAGCCTGGAGCCTGTTTCAGTCTGTGACTCCCTCTCTCTCTGACCCTCCCCTGCTCAAACTGTCTCTCTCTCTCCTAGAAATAAATAAAACATTAAAAAAAAAAATTTAAATCTAGAAGGGGAACAGGAGGAATATAGTACTGCTAAACTTACATGCGTCAACACGAAAGGCTTTATGTTCTCAGAGGTGAATGGGGCAGAAAGATGTTTTGCAGGTGAAGGGAAGGGCGGTGCCCTATTTCCCCGGGGGGTTGAGGAAAGACACCATCTCCTTCCTGGTCAAGGCAGCAGTGCCACGTGGAAGGTTCTGGGCTTCAGAGCCCTGCCACCAGGAGGAAGGACTCTGTCCTGGGGTTTGCGCAGGGCACGCGCTACCTCTGTGTGCCAGTACCTATGCACCTACTTACATACCTATTTCTTTTATAGTTTGCGTTTGGCTTAATGGATGAATAACCCTGCAAAGAAAGGAAACTCCCTTGTGCTTTGCTTTGCCCATGCAAACACCGCTGCAAGCTACACACTGATGCTCTCTGTACTTGCAGCCTCCTTAACTGTTACAAACTCTTTACAGAGAATGCTATTATTTATTTGCCATTCTCTGCAAAACGGCTTTAGTAGGGACATATTATCACAATCCTTTTAGGAGGAATAGCTCTATAGGTTTCCACAATGCCCCAGACAAGCATCACTTAGGGTAAGACAAGCTTGCCAAATCCTGGATTCCTAGACTTCTATCTCTAAGAGTGCCTTTAGTCCAGAACACAGTCCAAGGCCTCGCCTGATTGCATTGTCTCAGAGTAGCCACAAGAGGGCGTGTGAAGAACACAATCCTCTTTGGAACCGGGCTCGCAGAAGCCATTTCCTTGATTAGGCAGCAGCAGCATCTGTAGTTTCCTGTATCGGGAGCAGGTGGAACAAATCCTTAGAACAGTCACTTACTCATCTTTTTAACACGCTGTCTACACAGAAGGCGGAGAAAGGGAAGATTCTGATGGTGGTGTGAGATATTCAGTCCCGGATGTCCAAACAATCTGGAAGAGGGTCGGCAAAATCAGCTCATGCAGGCATTATGCTCCACTGGATTTAGTTGGAACTTTCCATATGCCAGAAATGGCCAAGGCCCCTGGGATGACTTGGGGTTGGAGTATAATAAATCACTCCAAGCTTGAAAGATTTTCCCACAGTGATTCGCTTCTGTCAAAACCAACAAACAAAAAACAGCCTAACTTGAGGATTTTATTTGCCGTTGGCATTTTCAGGAGAAGAGAAGAATCATCATTCTCTCTTCTTTAAAATAGTAAGGGGGCGCCTGGGTGGCTCAGTTGGTTAAGCGTCTGACTTCAGCTCAGGTCATGATCTCACAGTGCGTGGTTTCGAGCCCTGCATCAGGCTCTGTGCTGACAATTCGGAGCCTGGAGCCTGTTTCGGATTCTGTGACTCCCTCTCTCCCTGACCCTCCCCTGCTCATGCTGCCTCTCTCTCTCTCAGAAGTAAATAAAACATTAAAAAAATTAAAATGGTAACAAGAAAGAATAGGGAATCAGATTCCCGGGGCTCTGTGCTATGGTCATAGGTGAGTGACCCACAGAATTAGGAAGGCTCTTCTTGCTTCCAAGGATACTCAGAAAATAGCTGTCAGATAAGGTGCTCTGGGGAGAGAGGATGGGGATCAGATATGGGGGTCCCATAGGGTAGAGGTTCTTAAACTTCGGCATACATCATCATCACCCAGAATATTTGTTCAAACACAGACTTTAGGGACCCACTATGAGATTCTGATTTAAGAGGTCCTGGATGGGGCCTGAGGATTTGCATTTCTAACAAATTCTCAGGTATGGTGATGCTGGTTGGGGACCGCACCCTGAGAATCACTGCTTTGGGGTATCTTCTCAGATTCCTAAGATGTCTCGATTATCCCTGAGGTTGGACCTGACCATCTGCAGCGCACTACTCCAGTAATGGACGGGGTTAGTACCTGAGATTCCCAGCCTGGTTACCAAGGTCCTGAAGCTATTCCCCGCGCTGACCTCTCTGCAGACTCCAAGCCCCGGAAGTCTACTCTTCTGTAAAGAATGAAAGTTTGCTTCAGGTTGCTTCCCCCCTTACCCAGAATACCTCAGACCTCTGACCTGGAAGAAATTCCATAGTCCTGCTGATAGTTGAGGCCTCTGTTGTCAAATCCTAACGCATGAGGAAAGTACTATGCTGAGTAGACATGATTTGCCAGAGTTTATAGATTGACTCCATGTCTGCGTGACCTTAACGAGTTGCCTACGCTCTGAATACGTTCATTTTCTCATCTATGAAGCGGGAACTATAGCTGTACCTACTTCACCGGGTGGCTGTATGGGTTAAGTGAGTTAATATCTGAACAGTGCTTAGAACAGTGACTCACACGTCATCATCCCTCATCTTTGCTTTTAGAATCCATTTCCTTACCTGGAGACCTGAACTAAGAAGCCCCCCTCTGCCACTTCCTGGGAATGTGCCCCCTTGCTGTGTTATTGGGAGGCCAGAAGAGTTATGATGTTAACTTTAAACCTCTCACCTGGCTGAATGACATGGCTTAGTCAGAATGCAGAGGCCAGAGGTCAGGTATGAAGGTCAATTATAATCTCGAAGCAGGAAAGGTAACCAAACTATATAACTGGTTTAAGGTTTATCAATTTTGAACAATCTGTTATGCTAACTCGATTGCCTTTGCGATAGATCGGAACTTCCTGTGGAGCGGCCATTTTTTTTTGTGCCTTCCATCATGAAGCAGCAGCAAAATCACAGGAAGAGAAAGGGGAAGCATCTTCCTGGTCAGATAGAAGTATTCCTGGCACACTGCTGTGCGACTGGGGCAAAGCACTTCACGTGCCTGTATCTGTTCCCTATGGAACACACATAGTGATTCAAAGCTGCCGCATCATCCCCAACCATGTTTTCCACATGTTTCCATATATGATACATGACTTATGCAATTTCTTGTCAACTTCTAATAAATATCATTGGTGTGGATATTCATTTTTACCTCTTTATTTAATTACTCACTGAATATGTAATATATCGTCATGATGCAAACTTTGAAAAGCTGAAAAGGAAAGATAAGCCTCCCTCCCATACCTGTCACCTATCTACACAGTGTCCATCCACTGGGATCTTTTAAAATGAAGAGACTATTTTTTTGCGTTGTGGTTTCACAGCGAAGCTGATACGCGGCCATAGGCCCGTCGTCCATACAAGCGCTGCCTCTCCCACTGTCCACACACCCACCTGAGTTACCGTTGTTACAACCCATGAACCGGCACAGACACATCATTATCATCCAGAGTCCACAGTGGATATCATGGTTCACTGCTGGGATCGTAAGGCCGTTGAATTTCAACAGATATGTAAAGGCCTGGATCCAGCATTACAGTAACATACGGAGTAGTTTCACTGCCTTAAAACTTGCCTGGGCTCCACTCTGTTCATCTTTGCCTCCACCAACCCCCCCGGCAACCACTGGTCTTTTTACTGTCTTCCTAGGTTTGTCCTTCCCAGAATGTCATCTTCTCGCAGCCCTACAGCATGTGGTTTGCTCAGATTCTGGCTTCTTCCAGCGGTGTGTGGGTGGCTCGGTTGGTTGAGTGTCCCATTTAGGTTCTTGTCATGATCTCACCGTTCGCGAGTTCGAGCCCCGCGTCAGGCTCTATGCTGACAGCTCAGAGCCTGGAGCCTGGTTCAGATTCTGTGTCTCCCTCTCTCTCTTTCTCTGCCCCTCCCCTGCTCACACTGTGTCTCTCTCTCAAAAATAAACGAACATTAAAAAAAATACTCTGGCTTTTTCCTCTTAGTGATATGCATTTAAGGTTCTTCCATGTCTTCACTCACTCATCTTGTTATTCATCTTCATCTATTTGTATTCACCCATTGAAGGACATCCTGGTTGCTTCTAGGTTTTGGCAATTGTGTATAAAGCTGTTATAAACATTCAAGTGTGTGTTTTTTGCATGGACGTAGTTTTCAGGCTACAGACTTTTAAAGCAACAACTCTGAGATGGAAAGAAATCTTAACCACTTGAGACTAAGACAGTTTTGTATCCCTCACCTGCATCCTGTATGGATGCTGGTATCAAGCACTTAGAATGATCATGGTCATAGTGCTTTTTTAAAAAATATTTTCTTAAATATTTTTAAAATTTTTTTTATTTATTTCTAGGAGAGAGAGAGACAGCATGAGCAGGGGAGGGTCAGAGAGAGAGGGAGTCACAGACTGAAACAGGCTCCAGGCTCCGAGCTGGCAGTCAGCACAGAGCCTGACGCGGGGCTCGAACCCACGAACCGCGAGATCATGACCTAAGCGAAAGTCGGACGCTTAGCCGACTAAGCCACCCAGGCGCCCCTGTGGCCATAGTGCTTTTAATAGAAACATTCCCTGAAATGTATGTGCTCCCCCCGACCCCCTCGTTGACATTGGGTAAGATGCTGTCCCCACCAGGGGGCTGGGGTGAAATTGAAATGTTTCCTTTTAATCACTCTTTTCTTTTGCTTCCATCTGGGCTTCTGTCCGGCCTCCAGATCCAGGCAAGACTTGCTACTGTTGACATGTAGTGTTGATCACTCTGGTGTTCCAATTTGAATCATCTCCAGTCTGGCTTTTTCCATCTCCAGCTCACACTTAGCATGTCCAGCTCCCACATGGCATATACATTTGTGTCTCTATCCATCTACATCCATATCTGTTTCCCTTACTAGATAATAAGCTACCATGTTCTTTCCCTGCCTCCAAAATGTTATATAATAATTTGCCTATAAGAGATTTTTAGTCAACATTTATTGGTAGCATAGAACATTGTTGATGTGGCAGTTAAGAACCATTTGACTGATCAGATTCTGTATCCTGTAGAATGAAAGATGCAGATTTCTGAGAAACACTGCTCTGAGCATCACAATAGCTAACATATCCTAATACTTAGTATTTGGCACCATGGTAAGCATTTTTACATAAATTATCTCACTTACCCTCATGAAACTCCCAATTGTTATTATTGCTCCCATTACTTATATAAGAAAACTGAACTTTAGCGAAATTTAAGTAACTTGTTCGAGGGCTTATGCAAATGGATCACATACTACCAGAAATTTCAAGATTGCTTATCAGAGACTATGGCATACAAAACAAAACAGGGGCGCCTGGGTGGTTCAGTTAGTTAAGCATCTGACTTTTGATTTCTGTTCAGCTCATGATCTCATGGTCTGTGAGTTCGAGCCCTGTGTCAGGCTCTGTGCTCCCAGTGCAGAGCCTGCTTGGGATTCTCTCTCTCCCTCTCTCTCTAGCCCTCCCCCACTCTCTCACTTTCTCTCTCAAAATAAATAAACTTTAAAAAATATTTTAAAAATGTTTTAAATTTGTCACACTGAAGTGAATTATGTAATATGAGTCTGTATCAATATCAATGGGTAAGTTTGTGTTTATATGGTTAGGGTTTGTCTTCCCCCAAAGACTGTAAGCTCTATGATCATAGGAACTATTTTGTCCCATCTGTTTCCAGTCCCTAACTATTTTCCTGGTCCAATTTAGGTGTACCGATCTATGAGTGATCTTAGTCTTCTGATCTTCTCAAGTTCATCTCCTGATACATCAACTTTGCTGTAAGAATAAGGCATTTTGGAAGCTGAGGGTGAGTAGTCACCATGAGAAATGCATTGTCATCTCCCAGAAAGGTGGTTACCATCTCTATCTTCCATTCTTTAGATTTCTGGCATAGATTTTTGATGGAGAAAAGGATGAATCATTATACAAAAGAGGAGATAATAGGGTCAAGGAAAGTATGTTTTCTAAATAATTTGTCTATTCCTATCAAGTATACAGTCTTGAAAGCCTAACCACATTCAATGCATGTTTGTTGTTGGGCATCACATGACTGTGCCTATGTGAGTTATCAGTTATAACTCAGGAAGGAGGAGTTTATGTTCTCACTGTCCCTCTCTACTCAAAGTGGCTATGAGAGATTTGGGTGCTGTCAGAAAGGATAGCAGAAACAAAACCAGATGGTATCAGCCCATGCTTTTCAAAATCGCTTTCGCTCTTGATTTTGAATTCCTATTACTTAGAGGTTCAGGTTTTGACTTCTCAGCCTGGTATTCAAGAAATTCCATTTTATGACCCTCACTTGTACCTTTACCTTTATAGAATAGCTCTCAGTAGGGACTCTGGCCCATCGAATGGATTCTGCTGTTCCTCTCATATGTCAAGGTCACTTTAATCTTCATTTTGCTCAAACAGTGTGATACACTCACTTTTCTCTTTATTCATATTTTCTCTAATTCCTCAAAAATCAGGGTTACATGTGGCTTCCTGCTTTCTCTGATGACTTCAGTATTTACTATGACTGTGATCATAGTTTACTAGTGTGGCTAAGGGTTGAGATTCTCAGGCCAGATTTAGGTCAACTCAACACAAGGCTTCCTCATTTGCAATCTAGGTGATCTTGAGGAAATCATTAATTTCTCCAAGCCCAGTTTCCTCATCTACAACATGTACATAGATAAAACTACCTCATAGAATTGTTATGCAAGTTAATGCACTTTTGCATATAAAATGTTTCATTTTGAAAAATCACAATCCTAGATGCTTAAGTATTTTAAACCTTATTTAATTGGAGGGCAACATGAAGTTAACGGAAGAAATCACAGCTTTTGTATATGGTGTTTTAGTCAAGTCTGCATGATGCTTCACGTCACTGCTGTAGTGAACACAGGGAAGGACTCTGCTATTAATGGTGGTGATGGATGGTGGTGATTTCTCAGAAACTGGAGCGATGCCTCAACACGCCAAGGAGTGCCAGATTGCCAGTAAACCACCAGAAGCTAGGAGGGAGACATCGGACATAATCTACAGTCCACAGGAGAACCAAACCTGATGACACCTTGACCTCAGACTTTTGGCCTCCAGACTGTGAGAGAACAAATTTCTGTCACTGACGTCACCAGTGGGTAGTACTTTGTGATGGGGGGTTTAGAAAGCTCATATAAGATCATGGAAAGAACATGAATATACAAAGGATAGTTGATAGTGTAAGTTGCTCAGAAAGTAAGTGAGAATGGGATCCGAGTTGATAAGAAAGTTGTATGGGAAATGAGTAGGCCTGTGCGTTTGCTATTGGAAAGACGATGGGTTTCCCATATGCTGACTTCTATTGTCTCTGTAAACTAGGAGGAGATATAATGTAGTGAAAGTAAAGGTATCAAATGGGAGGTTTAAGGACCCATGTGAAGTTGGCTATGGAATTTAATCATATTAGCTAATTGGCTCTGTTGTGTGACTCTCTTCAGCAATGCTCAGCTGTAGGGTACAGGCACAGAGAAGTGGAGAGCTGGACAACCCAGGAATGGGGGCGAACAGGGCAGGAGAACCGAAATATAGAGCTTCAAGAAATGTTATTGACCAATCTTCCATGGAAGCTGAGCCGACTGAAGTGAAGAGCTGGACTTGAAGGATGAAGTTTGAAGGGAGTAAAGGAGCCTTAGTGAGTTTGAAGAATGTTTGTGGTGGGAAATGTTGGACAGGCCAGTAGAGGAGAGAGATGTGGGGGTGGGACAGTTGATTATGGGTGGTGAGAAGGTTCCAGATGTGACTGTTGGAGTAGCTAGACCGAGACGAAGAACTGAGAGACCATTATGTCGCAGTGTGGAGTGGATTTGTTTGCTTATCTAACAAATGATAATTGAGTGCCTATTCTGTGCCAGGCGCAACTCTTAAGTTCTGAGAATGAAAGAACAGATTCCTGCCCTGCAGAACTTTCAGCAAACAAGTCAATCAATCAATATATATAATGTTTGATATGTCAGGTGTGAGGGTGCACTGGAGAAATTAAAGGGTGCACAGGATGGGTGCTGTGTGGTCAGGGAAATACTTCTCCATAAGGTGATATTTGAACAGAGACCCAACGCCTAGAGATGAGCTGAGACGTGTCTCTCTGGAAGAACATTTCAGAAAAAGAGAATAGTTGAGTGAAAAGGCCCCAAATCCGTGTAATTGCCGTAAGATCTCCCAGTAATTCCCGTGATAGAAATAGGTCTCTTTCAAAGTGTTTCCCGGGAGTTCCGTGGTTTCCTCTCCGGCGAGGCCTCACCGGTGTCCCACGAGCTCCCTGGCGAACCTACGTCTGCTCGGCTCTGGCCCTCACACCCCCGCTGCTGCAGCCTGTGCTGCTGGGGCCCCGGGCGGCCTGCGATCCGCGGGCACAGCGGGCCTTCCTGTCTGATGTCCCGCTGACCTCAGCGAGCGGGCGCCTCCCGTCTTAGGTCCAGAGGGTCAGTGTCCTTGCTGTCGCCCTGCTCGGGTGCACACTACAGGGCCCGACAACCGCCTTCCGGGGGTGGCCTCCCCGTCGGTGCCACTTGTCTGCACTGCGAATACTGCCACCTCCAGCTCTGAAAGCAGTAGAAACTCCCATCCCCTTCCTGCTCCCCCCACGCCCCCCATGGAAGTCAGGGCCAGGGGGTGCCCGTCACAGGAAGCAAAAGAGAGAAGAGAAGCCCCCAGCCAAGTTTCATCTCGTTCCCACTCTGGGAACAACCACTCGGCACATTGATTGTCATCACTTTTTCTAGGAGAGAAC